GGGGGGGGGGGGGGGGTGGCGTCATGAACCTGAAATTCTATTGACTTACGTATTGACACGACAGTCCATATAAATCGATTAAAAATTAATCTTATGCCGATAAGATATCGAAAAGTGACTTATTAAAAAAAAAAAAAAAAAATAATAAAAATATAAACGACCAGATATCACACTGATTCGATCTCGTCAAAACGCGTACAGTACGAAATCTGATAAAAATGATTAAAAAATCGAGACGAGTTCGAAGGATTGAAAATAAGAATCGATAAAATTTCATCCCGATTGAATCGCCTCGAACGACTCTCGAAGCAATAAGACCGAATAAGGAATCTCCAGCAGCCGATTACATTCAAGAATCTGGACCGCTGCCACGTGATATGTAAATGTCCCAGGAAATTGAGAGATTCGTGACGTGTGAAAAATTCAAGAAAAAGAAGACCGGTCCAGGAAGGGTCCAAAAAAAAAGGAAAAAAAGTCGATGACGTCACAGGCGACGTTCCGCACGGTCGCCGAGTGGCCGATTGGATTTCAGGCAGAAAGAAAGAATAATAATAATAATAATAAAGGCAGTGGCAAACGGATAAGTGCGATCCAAGGTACGGAATCCAAGGATCGAATCAGGATACTCAAATGAGCGAATCGGAGAAAGGTAAGAGCAAGAAAACAGCCCGAGAGGTATTCTGATACGAGGAAGCTCGGGATAGGGTTGAATCAAGAAGAAAAAAGATAAGGAGATAATAGAGGATCTGGGTATTGGCTGCTGCGCCCGTGCCGGCCCTTACGCTTGCTAATGAGTCCAAAGTGGAATGCTGGGACGGGCCGAGTCCAGCCGTGTACAGGTACGGGTACAAGTACAGGTACAGTAACAAGTATATGTATAGCATGAGTAGCAGTATGCACACAGTCATTAGTGCCCAATTACGGAGATATACTTGGAAACGTAACGACCTACTCGTGGAGTTGCCTACCTGGCTAGTGGCTAGTTCAAGTGCGACCAACCCAACCTAACCTAATGCAACACACGGTATACGGACCAACGTGGCCGAGTATGAAAAAAAGAAAAAAAAAAAAAAGAAAAATATTTCGACAAGAAAACTAAGATTTATTTTTCCTTGCAATTTTGTATAATCTAAAAAAAATTTTTTTTTTCAGTCGACTCCACCGCCTAGTACTGTATATATATTTCTTATACCGTATAACTATATTCCTTGTTAACGTATTTTCCTTCTCTTTCTAACCAGCTCCGCCAACATTTTCTTATTTCTCTGCTCCACTGCTTTTCCAATATCTTATTGGCTTCGGTAATCTAACACACTGACCTGTACAGTTCGGTAAGTACGACAGGGACAATTGGTCCGCGTCTGGTTACATCGTGATGTACACTCAGGAAAGAATCGAATAGCGGGAGTACTGGGTATATACAAGTACGAAGCAACAATTGCATACTTGTCGTACGGGTTAAATAACAAGACTTGGAGGGGGATATTTAATTTTTGAAAAAAAAAAAATTTTTTTTAATTGATTTTATCAAAATTATTTTTCTAATTAAATTTTATTTTCTCTCCAGTCTGTACAGCGGCGTATACAGTATACATGTGCCGCACGCGTTTACGCTTCTACGGTATGTACAGTTAACGCGTATCTATAGGTTGGTACATAAACTGTTATGCATCGGAGTGGTACTATTACCTGTATACCTGTATATCGATAGGCAAACATATTTGCGTCATACTGTACAGCGCTGTATGACAGGCGAAACGACAAGTATAGCGACAAGATATGGAGTTCAACGTCCAGCAAAGGTCGACCGCCAATGAATCTTCGTTGTGAAGTTACCTTAAGGCCGAAGGCGCCGGGCCCAATAGATAAATCCGCGTAATTTGTACAATCATTAAGGTCATTTCCACCGGGGATTATTTTGGCTTCCGATAAGGGATGGAAAAAAAATTATATAAAAAAATCCTAATTTCCCGATAAAATCGTTTGAATCGTGAAAAAAACGAAAAATCGCATGAATCTATTTTTGGGGCATTTTTTTTTCTTACGGGCCAAACCGAGCCATAACTACCAATTGTTCGATAATAGGATTGAGATTTGTATATACAGCCGTCTATCGTGGCTCCGGCAGGATGAAGTGGTCGAGTGGACCAAGGAGGCTGAGAGGGGGGTCGGTAAAGGGATGGAATTTTCCAAGGGTTCGAAATAGCCGCAATGGATTCAAAACCAAGGCTGTCTGTAAGGCTGTCACGTATATACATGTATATATTGGTATAGTAGTTGGTGGCAGCACCGTCGGACGCCACTCGTCCTCAAGAAGCACTTTGAAAACTCGATGCCTCCTAAAGGTTTCCAGGCCATTCGCCATTCCTACTCTCTAATGAGAACTGACCGTAGCTTTTCGTTTACCCAAGACTCTCGCCGCGCAATTCTAGTTCATCCTTGTAATGGGTTCTGCTAGAGACGCCATTTCGCGATATTAGTATAGATATAGATGTCGCGTAGACTTTTATGGAGAATCCGTCCTTCCGTACACGTACGTATATAGCTATATGCGAACAGTCGTACGTGCAGTGCGGCCAGGGGGATACCTTTCAGTTTCGGCGGTAAATTCAAACGAGAAAAAAGAGTTATGAGCAGGCACCGAGTTACGGGGTCGCCTTGTGGTGTGTAAATTTGCTCAATGGTAGTATCGATGTCGAGTATCGATATATCGAACGTCGTGGTCATTAGAATTTTGCCGGTTACAAAAATTATTTTTTTTTTTCGTTTTTTTTCCGATTTTCATCCACAACGTTTATCGCGTGCATTTGTTATGTGTCGTGCCTAAATAATTGCTCGTTGTTCCGTTGCTAATGAATGAGCCCGCGATAAATGCGAATATGGTGGATTTCGCGGATCGAGGTATTTTTGAAAAATTTCATCTCCCGCGTTAACGCAAGTCCAGCAATCGGATTAAATTGCTCGGCCGTCCGTTCGTGCTAATTCTTCTGGATCAAATGCGCGTAGTCGAAGAGGAATTAATGTGAAAATAATAAAAATTTCACAACTTCCCTGCCCTCCATCCGCCCCATCCAACCACGTGGTGAATTCGCTCGCGAGCGGATATCCGGTTCGCATCGAATTCACACAGTTCAGACCCATAAACGCCGATCATGCGTTCCAAATTAAATGATAAAAAAAAACATACGACTTAATCTGTTTTTCAGTTTTTCAATTATTTTTTTTTTCGGAATTCGCGTAAAAAAAATTCAAAATTTTTTCAAATTTGCTTGGCCATTCTATCGATGATTTAATTAAGAGGTCGTATCGACAAGTGATTAGCGAATCAGTTGATGCCGATCAATCGTCGATGATTAATATTGCGTAACGATCCAAAGGATTTTTTTGAAATTCACTTGAAAAATTACCTGTGAAGTTGGCAGCAAAATTCCAAAAAGACCATCGGCATCCAAAAAGTCTCATCTCGCGATCCTCCGGTCTTTTCTCCCTCATCCCCAAGGCGCCCTTAACGGACGATGCCAGAAGGGAGCTCATTCGTTCGAATTAATTTTTGGCTTTTTTTTTTTAAATTTAAGATCGATATTATAATTATCGATCACGATCGAAGCACTTTTTTTTTTTAAATATATACACGTATAACACGTACGCGCACGCACACTCACTTCGTTCCACGACCTTTTTCACGTAACATTCGAAAGGATCTTCTTCGAGATCTTCCTTCGCGGATAAGTTCACATATTTAGCACAAGTTCGTTGATCCTGACGGAGATGCTTTAGGCTGCGTTCACATCGATCGATTTAACCCGTTCGTCTTTATGAGGATTAACTTTTATTATTTTGGCGTTTATTTTCGTCGATAAGACAAAAAAATGGCCGTTCAATGCGAATTTCGAAGAAAATAATTAACGAAGGCGATAAAATCGTAATTACGAGAAATTAAGGTACTTTTCGCGCGATATCGTCGAGCAAGGATGTAATTAGTGCGAGTGTCAATAAAAATTTATGGATATCAGGTGAAACATGGGATTCGAGTATTTTCGCGAAATGAAGACTCCCATTAAGGCTAAAAAGAAAAGTAGATAATTTTCGAGCGCGAAGTGTACGAATCGTTATGATAAAATTGCATAAATCTTGAAGACGAATAAATTAAAGTAAATCGGGAATAACGTCACGCTCGAGCAGAGGCTGCGATCAGGGAGCCAAATGTGCGGGACCAGTGAACTGCCATTAAATTGTGCAATATAAAGGATAAAGGACGAGCAATCTTTTTTTTTTTTTTCCAGATAACAGCAGCAATGCGATATCGAACGAGAAATAAATTTGTGCCAGAAAATATATTTATCGCGAATAATAAAGTTGTGTCAATAAGTCACTGAAGAATAATAAAAAAAAAATTCAAAAAAACATTTCCAAAAATTTCCACAAAATACATTTTTCACACATAGGGATTTCATACACGTGAATCATTAAATTATTGGTCACTCTATATATATACACCACGTTGCCCGGGTGACATATGTGTCTTCATATATGGATAAAGGACACGGTCAATAAGAATGACGGATGATCAAGTAAAAAAAATGGCAATCGATACCACGCTCGATGGAGCACTCGATAATTTTGTTTTGATAAGAATCGAGAAAAATGGTACAGCGGGAGCATACGAAGGGGATGCTGTAAGGATTGAGAAAAAAAGTCGCAAAAAAAAGATAGACATGAAAAAAATTAACAAACTTCAAGATTTTCATGAACAGAATGCGTTACAAGGGCGGGACACTAGTTTGGAAGCTGCCTAAAGGTACGTTCACACCGTCCGGCGATATGCAGATACAGCTCTTGTAGATAGGAGAAAAGTCGCTATTTCGAATTGAACCTAGTAGCAATGTGTACGTGACTTAAAATGGCTTTAAGGACACGATTGGAATTATTGATTGGATATCGATTGGGTATCGCATGTACACGCAACGGATGCGTGATTCGATATTCGATATTGTAACTAATCGATACTCGATTGCGACTATCGCCGTGAGACTTGACTTTGTATTTTGTACTTTCTATCCGGAACCTTGCGTTACGTCCTTATCGCGTTACGTCTGCGGCACCGTTGAGAGGGAAAAGAAAAACGAAAAAAAAAAAAAAAAAATAACTACTGCCG